TGCTACTAAACTGGAGTTCTGTTGGTCTGAATTATCTTATTTCATTACCAGAATTAGAAGTTATTAAAAGTCTGGGAGGCATTTTTCAGGAAGAGTTTTGAAGGGTTGTTTCTTTATGCATACGTGTGCACACACACACATCTAGGCACACACACATGTACACTTGCTGAAGTCTGAACTTAACCTCCTTTCCTGCCCCTGGTTCACTCAGGATTCTTCCTCTGACATTGTCCTCAGAGCTCTGTCTGAACAAGCTAGGATTAGTGGTGTCACAGACAGTCATCATGGTTCTGAGTCACTGAATGCCCTAGAAAGAATTTTGGTCTGTGAAACCTGATTGCATTGCTCTTCTATACCAAAAAAAAAAAAAAAAGAAGAATTGAGGACAACCTAGGAGGGGAAAGAAGGATGCCCCTGATATACAGATATGGAAGGGAGAAGGCCAGTGGTACTGTGGAGGTGGTATACATGGAGACATAGCAGTTAGTAATACAGGCCAGGAGTCAGATGGTGGAACCGTTAGAGTACTGGCTAAGTTAGGACCTCACTTGTGCAGCTGGGACTCCCCAGGACCCTTCAGCTCAGCCCCTGATTCCATCCCCCTCTGAGCATTGACTCAGGTTGCATTATAGCGCCTTGCTGGAAATGTTGTAGAATGAAGGGGTTGAGATGATGGATAGTAAGATGTCAACTATGTAATGTTCAAAGTGGCAGGCAGAACAGATGTCGACTACGTAGTGCTCAAAATGGTGGGCGGAACAGCTTTTAGCCACTTTGTGTTCAAGGTGATGGGGGCTACAGATGTTATTCATATCAGGTGATGTGAGTGGACGGCATTAAGGGCCTATCTCACTTCACGCTTAGGAAGCTTTCACGTTGAGGGAGAGCTATGAACATGGCTGTCACTGTGACCAAGGAGGAGTGTGGGCTGTGGGAAGTATGCAAAATACATTTTGGACACTGTCCTAGAGCAGCATGTGGTGGCTTGAATTTTTGGTCAAATCATGGTGGGTGCTGGATGCCACAGGAGGAATTATTTTGCAGCCACTATATGATATGAAAAATAGTCCATCAGAAAATATGAAAACATTCTTATCTCATGGGCCATACAAAG